CCCCTGGGAGTTGGTTCCCTCACAGGGTCCCTGGAGGGATTCAAACAGCCGCCTCCTGCATCTTCCTTATGGAAGTCCAAGTCTGTATTACTGACTTGAGTTCAATTCTGTGACATCGGAGCGAGACAGTGATCCCTCCAGCTAGAGATTCATTATTGAAAACAAGAATAGTGCGAGAGAGCTGGGAACTTCTGATTTAGCAGTGAAGACAAACATGTTTATAATGTTATTGTCTCTGTTGGCCTTTCTTCTGTGTGATTTCAGCAATAGACTCGGCATAGTAGTTATTTCCAGGAATAATGCGAAGAACATGTTAAAACAAGAATATATCCTCTAAAAAGAATATTTATGAAATAAAATTATTCTCTTTATCTTTCTTTTATACTTCCATTTCAAAGGAGACAAGAGTGTAGACAACGTAGGAAAGACTCAATCACACTTTTTATAAGAGAAGATGACTGTGAATTTCCTATGAATAGCTGCACTTTTCAAATATTTTACTGAATATTTTGATATGTACATTTTATGCATGTAATGCATAATATAAATATATAACAGGAAGCTTGGATGGGGTGTATTGGGTAAATGGATAAATCACCTTCTTTGGGAATTAAGCTTTCTTTTGCAAAAAGTATTTGTACAAGTAGAGATACAGGACATTTATATAAAGTATAGTGAACTAACATTGCACAGAAGAGGAGAATTTGTAAGAACACCAGCAAACAAGCACAGTTATGTATTAAATGTTCTGGTGTGGTTACCTCCTGTCTGTGGCTATGTGTCTTGGCCAGATTCCAGGGGTGCTGGTTGCAGTGAAGTATTTTGGTGAGAGGCCAAAGACCATACTTAGAAATGGCTTGTGAATGTTATGATTTATTGCAATATCGACGGGAAAGGATGGCTTTAATTCAGCTACTACAGTAGCAGAAAAGAATGGAGCTCCAGGTACCTGGCTAGACAGGAAAAGCCATTGGAAGAGACTCGGGATGTCCAACAGTGATGGCTGGGGTAGTTCATTGGCACAGTGGACGGGAGGCAACTGGGAAGTGTCCAGTGGCAGGTGGCTGGATAAGACCAGGCCACCGTGATCTGTCCCACACTGTCATTAGAGGGAGAGTGCTTTCTAAATCACAGGACAGCGCCTTCATGAGCTTGCTCTGTCCCGGTTTATTAGCATCAGCTGCCTTAGCACAGAGACAGGAAGGCAGTTTGTACATGTCGCACTAGTCTGTCCCATTTCCTGAGTCCTTTAGGTAAAACTCTCCTGGACCGTCCATTCGGTGTACTCCTACGGTGCCCACCTGACTTGGCAAGAATGTTGGGAATGCAGAAGAGGTGTTTCAGGGCCGTGTTGCTAAAGGCCCTGGTTTTGGTTCCGTAGAGACACTGTGGTTATAAAGAAAAAAAGAGAAATGCAGATAAAAAGGTTTTGATTTTTGATGGCTGTCATAACAAAATACCACCAAGGGAATGGCGTAGCCAGGGAAATTGATTTTGGTCCTGAAAGCCAGAAGTCCAAGCACAGGTCTGGGATTTCCTTCTTCTCAGTGGCTCCCTCCTCATGGTGTCCTCACCTCACTGTGCCTGCAGCTACTCTTTGTCATCTTTATTGGGTTTAGTGGTACATATTCGTGTACAGTACAGTTACCTTCATCACTGGCATCCCGTACCTTTACATGACTTATCAGGTTCTTATTTTTCCTCATTCCCCAGCCCTCCCTCCACCCCCTCCACCCTTCCCTGTTTACAAAGACTTTGTTTCTGTGTTTTTCCTTTCACATATTTTTTCTTTTCCCTTTTTACCTTTCCCCTACCCCTCCCACTTCCTTTACTCTTTCAGTCTTTTCTTCCTATTACACAATACCAATCATACATTGCAATTCTTATTTACACTTTCACTTTTTCATGCCAGAGAAACAATTTTGCATTTACATGTGTGTAACTTATTAATTTCACTTAAGAGTATGTCCTTGATGTGCATACACTTAGCTATAAATCTCTCTAGTTACTCATTCTTTATGGCTGAGTAGTACTCCATTAAAAAAACAAACAAACAAACACATCTTCTTTATCCAGTCTTCAGCTGATGGGCAATTGGGCTGTTTCCTAATGAACATAGATGCAAAAGTCCTCAATAAGATTCAAACGGAATACAGAGGGTCATCAAGAAGATTATACACCCTGCCTCAATCTGGTTTTGTGTTGTGTGTGCTTTCTGGTCTTTATATTAATCTGTGCTTCTTAGAAGAATGTGAGTTTCACTGGATTAGGGGCAGCCAGGTGAGCCAAGTTTGATTTAAATGCCTCTTTAAAGCCCAGTGTCCAAATACAGCCACAAGGTGATGTAGCAGGGTTTAGGATTCAAACATGAATTCAGACACAATTTAGCATGTAAAAAAGACTGGAAAATAAATTAATACAGAAACCTTGTTGGTTCTATTATTATTATGTTTTATATATTGAAGAATGAGATTATTTTAAATATCTCACATTAAGCTCTCAAAGAAAAGATGAAAATGTGATTTCTTTGTTATGAAAAATCTTGCTCCTGAAAATCTATTCTGTGGAAGTAATATAAGTAATCAAATTAAATTAAAAAACTTCATAAGATCATTACTGAATAAAATGATGCTCTAGAAAGTAAATATATGGTTCAAAATTTATTAAATAAATAATTCATATGTACGTAAATTAGCACATTATTTTAAATTTATTTATGTGGATTATAGAGGAATTTCCTGAAAGCTCTTTTCCAGAAAACAAACTAATATTTAAAAAGTCAAATCTTACTACACCATCACACTTTTATGTGTAACCAGAAAAAGTAAACTGTGAATCATAAAATCAGTCATAAAATTCTGGAGGTGGGTGGCATGAATTTTGTGAGGTCCATAAAAGGGTACATAGATTTACTAACAGCAGATAAGAAAGTTCTGAAGAGCAAATGTCCTGCATAAGGACTGTAGTTCATGACACTGAATTGTTTACCGGAAATTATGCTACCAAGGTGGATATTAGATGTTCTCACCACACACACAGACACACAGACACACACACAGACACGCACACACACAGACACACAGACACACACACACACACACTCATGTCAAGTAGGTGGGGTGGTGGATATAAACCATCTAGATCACAGTAAACATATAAGATAGGATAAGTATAATCACACCATCTTGCAAATGTACCTTTTTATTTAGGAACCCAGAAACATAAGCAAAAGGGTCTTATTACTTTTATTTTTGCTAAAACAATAACAGAATATATTTTAAAATTATTTTTAAAGTCTTTAGCAATATTGATTTATTTATTTTCCATTGAGTTTGTTAATACATTTTAGGCATACAGTACAATGACATTTATCATTGGGATCTTGTACCTTTACATGACAGATCTTGGTTCTCATTTTTTCCCCTTATCCCTGCCCTCCCTTTACCCCTCCACCCTCCCTATTTAAAAGGCCTTGTTTCCATTTTTTCCTGTTCTCGTATTTTTTCTTTTCCCTATTTCCTTTCCCCAACTCTTCCCACTTCCCCTATACCTTTAGCCCTTTTCTTCCTATTTCATTGCCCACCAGTTGGAGAGTGGATAAACAAGATGTGGTTTTTCTATAAAATGGAACACTACTCAGCTCTACAGAATGAGAAACTAGTCATTCATAGGAAAATTGATGCATCTTGAAGCCATACTCTTATGTGAAATAAATAAGACACACATGTATACATTTTAAAATTCTTAATATACATGTACAGTATTTTCAAATTTTATTGCTCCTCAAAATTAAGAGTATTTTCATCACACTAAATATTTCCCAATGTCTCTTTACAATAAATTTGCCATTCCATATCCTAGTTTGCCATCTGTATGATTTTTATTATGTTGTATTAATTAACTCATGATGGATATGAGAGAGAGTTGGGAATAAAAATGCAATGAATGCTTATGTTTGAATTATCATTAATTTGTATAATCACCACATATATTTTAAAAATATTAATGTCATCCCAGTACATAGTGAGATCACTTTTTTATTTTGAGGTGTTCAGTCATAAATCAGTGTATCACAAAGCAATCAAAATCCAAAACTCACAGCTGAGTAGTCCTCCACTATATAAAAAACCACATCTTTTTAAATCCATTCAATAGATGATAGGCAATTGGGCTGTTTCCAAGTTTTAGCTGTTACAAACTGTGCCTATAAACAAAAGTGCACATATATAACTGTAGTATGATGCTTTTAATTCTTTTGGGAAGATTCCCAGAAGGGAAATAGCTGGGTTAATTTATATATTTCTTTATTAATATCTAATTGTATTACAGTAAATAAATAAATATATTTTTAAATCCAAAGCTCACCGCAACATGAAAAACAGTGGAGCTAAATATAAAATTATCCAACATGATTTTACATTGGTCTACTACATATACCCTCACAGATGACTCACCTATCCTTGAGATATAAACAGTAACTTAACTTGGAACTTATTTTGCAATAGCATGCTTTATTTCATAAGTAGATTAAATCTTTGGAAATGCTTTTTTTGTGTGTTGTATTGCGATATTTAATTACTTGCATCCACTGTAACCAATACATTCCTCAGAGTTCACTCTTACATGTTTTTAACACCCAATATAGCTATAACTATATAATAACCCAATATAACTATAGACTATCTCTTACTAATCGTATGATTAATTTTGCTCCATTTTAACTATTTAAGTGTGAATGTTACCTCAGCAAGTCTACGTTCAACCAAAACTTTGGTATGATTTTTGTTATGTGTAAATAACAGTTTCCTACACAATCTTGAGTATTCCCTATGATGCATATTATCCGAGTACAACCCTTATTCTGTCTAGGTGAAAACGTGTGCAGTTTGATATAAGAAACGTTTTGTCCTGATAAAGAGGAAAAAAAGCTGATAAGATGTTTCTACTTTTTGAAATTAAAGTGCGATGATAGAGTATTAGCCAAAGACTGGCAGCGAATATTAAGTGGGGATTGTGAATCTATGAGTCAAGGTTCTCTTCAGGGCATCTTTTACTTCTCTGTTGCGCAGGCTGTAGATCAATGGATTCAGCATTGGAATTACCAAGGTGTAAAACACAGAGGCCATTTTATCAACATCGAAAGCATGGCTGGATTTGGGCTGCAGGTATATAAACAACAGTGTGCCATAGAACAGCACCACCACCGTCAGGTGGGAGCTACAGGTGGAGAAGGCTTTGTACCTCCCCTCGGTTGAGTTCATTCGGACAATGGCCACAAGAATAAACAAGTAAGATATGAGGACAATCAGGAGGGAGGAAAGCAAGTTACAGCCCGAGAAGACCAAGATGATCAGCTCTAACTCGTGCGTGTCAGAGCACAGCATGGTGATCAGAGGCAGACAGTCACAGTAAAAATACCTGATGATGTTAGAGCCACAGAAGGACAAGGTAAACAACTTCACTGTGAGCAGCAGTGACACAAAGGTGCTGTAGAGGTAGGGGACAATCACCAGCCCCCGGCACACTTTGTCTGCCATGATGCCCGTGTACACGAGAGGTTTGCAGATAGCCACATAGCGATCGTAGGCCATTGCTGAGAGGATAAACAGTTCGGTGATGATGAAAATCTCAAAGAATGCCAGCTGGGTAGCACAACCACGGTAGGAAATGGTGTTTTTATGTACTACAAAACTTACCATCATCTTTGGCCCGATGACAGTGGAGTAACCAAGATCAGTTATTGACAAATGTCTAAGGAAAAAATACATGGGATTGTGGAGCTTAGCGTCCAGCAGGGTCAAGGTGACCATGCTGAGGTTGGCCATCACCGTGACCAAGTATATGATGAGAAAGATTCCAAAAAGGGGCCCCTGGAGGTGAGGGTTGTCAGTGATCCCCAAGATAATAAATTCAGTAACCTGAGTCATGCCAGTGTGATTGAGTTTCTCCATGTGTTTCTGCTTGGTAATCTGTGTAAAGATACAATCAACACAAATTATACTTAAAATACCATCTTCTAAGAGAACGTCACTTGTGTGGCATTCAGACATCTGTGTCTTGAGTACTAAGTCGACTCACCTGCTTCCATCAGGCCAAAATCACACTGAGCTACACTCACACTCAATGAAACTTCAGTGAAATACACTTTAAATGGCAAGATATTTCAGAGTGGTCATTTTAATGTAGATACTAATACGTGCTTCTTTAGTTCCCAAGGTGTTTTACTACATTAACAGAGCTATATATTTCATTTTAGCTTTTTAAATTTTTCCAGTAATTTTTTTAAAAAATTAATTTTATGGGTACATTTTAGGTATACAATATGCTGACATGGATTATTGGGAATTTGTACCTTTACATAACATGTCTTGGTTCTTATTTTTATCTCCATTCTTCTGCCCTCCCTTCAATCCCTCCACCCCTCACTATTTCAAAGGTTTTGTTTCTATTTTTTCCTATTCTCTTATTTATTCTTTTTTTAATTGAGTTTATTGGTCCATTTTAGGTATACAGTACAGTTACATTCATTATTGGGATCTTGTACCTTTACATGTGGTGGTCTATTCCTGAAATCCCAGCACCCTGGGAGCCTGAGGCAGGAGAACTGCAAGTTTGAGCTCAGCCTGGGCAACTTAGCCGCTCAATGAGCCCCTGTCTCATAAATAAATGAATAAGTAAATTTTAGAAGACATAAATCAGTAACAGTCCGGAGATGTAGCTCACCGTGAAGTCCCCGTGTTCAATCCCGAGTGCTACTGTAAAAAAGAATATCATGTCATACACTGTCTAGTAGGCCAGCTCTCCATGAAGGACTCTGAGGAGATGGGAAACGGGAAAGGAAGGTAAGGAACACTGGGTAAACGATGGTAGACGAAGTCCTGGTTAGATAGACGACCGGTGCAGTGAACTGGAAAACAACGGATGTGTGAAAACCCAACTGGTGCAAACAGTGAACAGCATGGAGTGCTGGAAATGTACAGCAGGTCTGTCCTGAGCTGTGATCCTCTGGAGGACAAACAGGGTGTGTATCAAAGGGAGACACAGTTTCGCACATTTTAAGGCCCTCCCTGATCCATTTTAAACTTTATGCTCTTAGAAATCCTTAAAGATGAATGTTTCTACTCACTTTCCAGGAGATCTGCTTTGACTTCCTGTTGTCCTAATTAAGACAGGTTGTTACAGAGCTGATTCAAGTTTTCTTTTTCATCTTTGAGACGCATTATGTTGATGGTTAAATGTGATTCATGGATTAAAAAAAACGTACAGAATTACCCAAGGGAGAGTGGCTTGCATATCTGTTAATTAACTTCCAAATATTCCACTGGGAAAGCAGCCTAATAGAATAAAAATATCATGCAATATCCCTAAGCACTGGAAGTCACAAATAATGCCTTGTGAACCTGTCAATTACACAGAGTCATGAAATGGTCAGGGAGCTGCAGCGACCAATCCCATGATAGCAATGGCGAGAGGGTGGAGAACCAGACTCCAAAATTAGGGCGAAAATGTTTTCATTCAGCTGTGCCCTTCAGTCAGCACTTGTTAAGCAGGCCAGTACATGCAGAGCAATAGCACTTACACGACAAAAGAGAGAGAGAAAGAATTCTTCATAAGATTCTGGAGACTGAGCACTGTTATTTTTCCAGGCTGGGTCATTCATTACGACAAAGATGAGAACAATATTTCTCTGGAAGATGTACACAGTCATGGGTATTGCCATACTTAATGAAAGCATCCAAAAATTCCAACCACTGTGGTTAGAGAGATGACAAGCAGCAACATAACTCATAGACATCTAATAATCTCAGGAAAATAAACTTCAACAATGAACCTACAAAATTTATCACTGAAGAAGTTCCTGAAAACAAGAGAGAAAGGAAACACTAATTCAGGAAATTGCCTATAAATTTCAGTACTATTATCTCTGGAACAAGAAATGCTCTGTGATTGCAGAAATATTTTTTCATAAAAATGTTAAAATTCTCATATTAAATTGTTTCTTCACAAAATTTCTCACTTTTTTTTTTTTTGCCTGGACTCAGGACACTACCCATGCTAGCTCTGTGTCAAAGAGCTACAACCCTCGCTGCCCACTGTTTCTTAGATGAGGAAAGGGAATAGTGGAAAAGGAGAGGTGGGAGGAATGACAACTTAGTACTCCCTGCATGCCCTGGGCAGCCAGTGAACCGCCGAGGAGCTGCACAGGAGTGTGGTGAGGCAGAGAGATTTCAACAGTGAGGAGGTGGGAGAAGCTGCATTCTGACAAGGTGAGAGACTCACCGGAGAGCACTGGGAACCAGGGTTGTCAGGAGTGTGTGTGTGTGTGTGTGTGTGCGTGTGTCCCTTCATCCTCTGCCATGCCTCAGCACAGCACAACTCTGAATTACATTCACTTGGCCTCACCACTGTAAGATCTCCTGATGATCAGGAGTAATCCTTTTTTGTGTGGTATTTTTTAAAACCCAACAGATACAAATACAGTACTACATGCGATGATAAAATCATCAAAGCAGGTCTATAACATATTTCTGCAATCGAGAGCTTTATACATTAGCTTAATACTCAAAACAATTGAATAGATTCATCAAGAGTTTCGTAAAACAGAACTAGAATGTTCTTGTTTTCTGCTTTAGAAAATGCTCGGATTTTACAGTCTTGTTTTTTCATATTATTATTCATTGTCTATCAACTCTATATGTTGTATGTACTTATTTACAAATTTTTAAACAAGTACTTAAATTATACATACTTTTCTGACCATGGATAAATGTAGCACTTATTCAATCGATAAATTTAGTATTTATTCAATAAACATTATTTCTGCAGCTTTCAGAATAGGTTCTATGTAGATCAATGTCACATCAGATCAATATAAGTGAAACAACTGGTTTCTCCGTTGCTAATATTCACGTAAATATAATAATGGATCAGATAACTAACTTATTTAAAGTATGAATCTCAAAGGTTTGATATTTTCAGAGTTTGAAAACATCACAGTGATAGACTGTAGAGTAATTTTATTACTCCAGAATGAAACATGCCCTTCATCTTTAGTCCTTTCCCCTCAAAATTCTCCACTGAATTGGCAAGCAACCAACGATCTAATTTCGTCTCCATGGGTTTTCTTATTTTTGACATTTCAAATGAATGTTATTATAAAATATGTGGGCCTTTGTGGCTATCTTGTTTCACCTAGCAGAAACCTAGATGATTTTGTCTTCTAAGCTGAGACAAGGACTCTTATTTTAGTTCACATTTGAACTGTCTTTGAGCAGGCTTTGGCAAGAAAGGAGGAGGTGCCTCAATCTTGCATTCCAAAGGCATCCAGGCAAGGCTTGGGGTGCTCAGGAAGGAGACACCCCGAATCTGGGGCTGTGGGACAGACTATTTTGTGGGGTAGGGGTCCCACCTCCACTTCCTGAGAGTCAACACTCAATTGATTCCTTAGCTTGTTGCTAGGGACCCGAGTAAGTGGGCTGAAAGGGGCCTCCGGAAGGGGAACATTTCTGAGAAGTCACCTACTTAGAGAGGGCCTTAGGGGGAACAGCGTAGCCACACAGAAAACTGCAGGTATGAAAACCATGGGCCGCCAGCTCATCGAATCCTACCTGACAATCTCACTGTCCCTGTACCAGTATCAGGGACCAATATTTTTTCATCTTTTGTCTTTACAATAATGCCAAAAATATCTGAAGCACACATAAAATGATTAAAATTCAAGAAGAAAAAAATTGTTGGAAACTCAATCTTTCTCTTACGGTACTTTATTTTTACAAGAATGGAACATTTATGTCTTGTTTTCTACCTGGTAGAATTCCACTAAAAAATCATTCACCACAGCCCTGAGAACAAAACGAAACAAATTTTAAAAACGACTTTTCAACCCTCCTTTCTCAAAAAGGAAAGTTTCTCATATGAGAGAAATTAACGAATTTGTTGCAATCCCCTCCTCCTCCTCTTCCTCCCCTCCTCCTACCCCTCCTCTTGCGTTTTCGAGGCAGGGGGCTCCACTGAGCTAAATCGCCTGCTCTAATGTTTTCTTTTTCAGTATATTCCTACGTACTTAATGTTAATGCTTCCCAGTCTCTTTCCAACTTCAGGTTTATTGCACATTTCCTTAAATTACTTGCATCCATCCACCTTGTAGTGGCTTTCTGTTTGAGCAAAATCTTTGGTCTGGAAAAAGCGGTGTGACTTATTTTTTGACTCAATATTACTTGAATTAACTTTCTATGTTTGACAAAGTTAGAGTCATTTATTGTCCTTTTTTTTTCCTTCCTAAAATATTTAGTTAAATAAAATTGCATATATTCAAGGTGTATAACCTGAAGATTCGGTGTACATATACATTATGTAGTGATTAGCATAGAACACCCATCGCCACCCTTACTGTGTGTGTGTGTGTGTGTGTGCATGTGTGCACCAGTGTGGTGAGGGCATGTGGACTTCTCTCACTAGGTTTCATTTTCTCATTTTTTTTCCTTTTCCCTTATTACCTTTGCCCTACCCTTCCCATTTCCCCTATACCTTTAGTCCTTTTCTTCCTATTTCACATTGTCAGTTATATCATTAGGATCTTACGTACCATTATAGTCTCTCACTAGGTTTCAAGTCAGTGATGCAATGGCTGTGACCTTAGCTACTGTGGTGGACACGAGATCCCCAGAACTTATGCATCTTGTAATTGTATCCTTTGCCTTTTCTTCTAACAGGAAATGTGCCAAAGTGAGGTTTAATGCTATCATGCTAGGAGGACATTAGTGTTGAGGGAAAATAGAATGTTTTAGCAGAATTTACTTCACAAAGCGGTTGTGATGTCTACATTAAGTGAAACATTTAATTGAAAAATGTCTACATATAGTGATAAATAATATTGTTAACTCAGAGTTTCTGGCAGTCGTTATTTCCTGGACCTCTGCAGTTAGATTCCAGTCTCCTGCCCAATAGATAATGTGGGCCTGAGAAATAAAACTAAAAGACAGAACTAAGAGAGAGACAGAGGGACACCAGGACGATCAATGCTGGTGCAACCCACAAAGGCTCTGGCCAGTCCCAGGCACAGATTTTTATTGGCAATCAATTGGGATAAAGGTGAGTTATGTGCAGTTTCTTTGGAAATTATGTAAACAAGGCTCATAAAGGACAAGACAAAGCATCCTTGAGTTAGGAACAGAACAGACAAAATGTATGGTTGTAATTAGAACATTGTCCTCCTGGTTTGAAGGTTTTACTTGTGGGAACGGAATTTGGGTGCGAGTTACTCTGACCTCAGCACGTAGAGTTCAGCCAGACTCACTTCTATCAACAGCCAACTGAGGGTTCGCTCTTCACAGCCTATGTTGTACATAATTAATATGACAGTCCTCTGCAGGTACTGAGATGGAAAGGAACGAAGGACAAAGGAGAGACCGAGTCTCAAAGCTGGACAAAGACTGAGGTCTCGAGGCTGATGGTCAACGCCTGCCCCTCCTGCTAACCCACGAAGGTCACTGTGCCCAAAGATGAACTGCCAAGACCCAGCTGTCCACCTCCCTAGTCTTACAGATAAACTGTGAAAACAGCAGTTACCGCCTACTTCCCTACCCTTTGCTACATTCTGCTTCTGCAAAATTCTGCTTGCTCCTCTGGCCTGGCTAAAGAACAGAAGATTATGAAAACAAACAGAGAAATGGGGCTCAGAGCCTAGAAGGTGACTTCCACTGTGCCCGCTAGCTAGGGAATAAACCTGCCTTTCCCTCCGTTCTCTGAGTGCTGCTCTCTTCCTTGGTCTGCCTGCCCTCCAAGTGCTGTTCCCGTGTGACTGTCTTCAAGGTTGATTTTAACTGTTTCCCCAATACCATGGTATTTATTCTCACGTGACAATATATTATAGGTTTTAATTTGTTTCAATGAACTATATTCATTCAACATTCAGTGAATTTTATTTTGTCTCAAAGAATTTTACTTCATGGTGGTGCAGGAAAATGTCGAGATCCTGAAAAAACTGAAAGCAACAATATTTTCATGGAAAATGTGGTGACACAAAAAGACTATGTCCAAAATCAACTATGTTCTTACATACATCTCAGAAATTTCCTGTAATAGCGAAGATCTGACACCGTAGAAGTCATTTTCAAAGTATAGAAGAGAAATAGAATCTGTAATCTATGTGACTATTTTCTCTTTTTACAAGTTGGACAATCAGTTAATACAGTCAAAATATGAAAGTCAATAAAAATATAGTGAACCTGTGATATTAATTAAAATTGAGAAAGGTCGATATAGAGGAAAAGGCAAAAATATCAATTCAACTGAACACAGAAAACGTAAACGTAGTCACACCACTTTTAGACAAATAGGAAAGAATGCATAAAACTGAACAGTAAGTTATTGAGACCATCAGCTAGCATTAAAGCACAAGCTTCAGCTTTTTCATAAATGTACCCAAAATGTATCTTAATTTGTATGCCCATGAGCATTAAGAAAATGGGCTAAGAAAAAGTGATAGCCTTTCCAAGTACGTATACGGGTTACCGAGGTACAGCTGACAGACTCACAAAGACATTGACAAAACAAAGACATCGATCGAGAAATGAGTAGGACACCAAAGCTCGAAGTAGTTCTTATTGCAGTGTATTCGTAAGACATCAAATCATCATGTAACACGTGAAGAATCAGTGTAGGATATAAGTGCAAAACATAGCAGCCAAAATTATGAAGGGCAAGGTGTACGAATAGAGACAACCTGCACACAGCACACACACACGAGTTAGAAAATACAACTCATCCTGCACATGGTGGTAAAACACAAGAACCCACCTGCCTCGAAAGCCCAACGTCTGAATTCGATCCTTAGGGTGAAAAAAGAAAAACAAAAACCAAACATTAAAAAAAAAAAACAGAACAAAAACCCGATAACCCTGGTCAATTCCTTTGTCATCTCCACTACTCCCAACAATGCTACAGAACATTCACTTTCCTTGACAATAGTGGTTTTTATTCCATATCGCTTTAGTACATTTGCACTATAACATGAAGTTCAGACATATATGATCCACATATATCTCTTAAAAGAGGTGAAGTTTTGTTTTTAAGTTTTTTGTTTTCTTCATTAATCTAAGACAATTAAAAGTACCTGATATACGTATGATGATATGTAAATAAATGTTAAATTTATTTTTGCTTTTTATTTTTTCTAGATGCAAACATAGCACAGTTTTTTTTGCTCATGATTTAATTCATAGGAATCAGAGTTTACAAAAACCTATTATGATATTACATAAGTTATTCCATGTTCTTAGCAGGGCACATTTTACATCTTTGTTCCTTAAGCTGTAGATTAAGGGATTCAACATGGGGATGATGAGGGTGTAAAATATAGAAGTCACTTTGTCAGTGTTGCTGGAGTGACTGGACTTGGGCTGCACGTACATAAATATCAGGGTCCCATAGAACACGGTGACCACGGTCAGGTGGGATCCACAGGTGGAGAAGGCCCTGCGCCTGCCCTCTGCAGACTTCATCCTGAGGATGGCTGTGAGGATGAGCAGGTAGGACAGGAGGATAATGAGAAGAGAAGAAATCAAATCAAAACTTGCTAAGATCAGAATTATCAATTCAATTTCTTGGATATCTGAGCAGATCAAGGATAACAAAGGTAGACTGTCACAGTAGAAATGACTGATGACATTTTGGTCACAGAAGGAGGAAGTGAAGATCCTTATGGTGACCAGGAGAGACACAAATGTGCAGTAGAGATAGGGAATCACCACTAGTATATGACATACCTTTTGTAACATGATGGTGGTGTAGAGGAGAGGGTGACAGATGGCCACATAGCGGTCATAGGACATTGCAGACAGAATAAAAAACTCACTAACAATGAAAAATAGAAAGAAAGCCATCTGTGTGGCACAACCATAATAGGAGATTGTATTTTGATCAGCCACAAAATTTACCAGCATTTTGGGTCCCACAGCTGTAGAATAACCAAGATCCGTCACAGCCAGGTGTCTGAGGAAAAAGTACATGGGAGTCTGCAGCCCCGGGTCCACCTGGGTGAGGATGATCATGCCCAGGTTGCCCAGCAGCGAGGTCAGGTAGATGACAAGGAACAGGAGGAAGAGCGGAGCCTGCAGCTCAGGACGATCTGTGATGCCCAGCAGGATGAACTCGGTCACTGTTGTGAGGTTGGGCCCCTCCATCCAGGGTGATCTGAAGATCTGTTTAGGTAGAGACATAAGCATCATCAAGAGCTTTCCTGTGTTGTCACCTGGGAACTTTTATAGTACACAAACTTAGTGGCAACAATTTGCTAGGCTTTGACTTCAAATAAGAATGGAACACCATAAATGTGCCTGATGTGTGGTGGCGGTCAGGGCTGTAACACGATATGAAACATCCTGTCCCTGGTACCTGTCACAAAAGCTCTTCCCTGACTTGCCTGTGTGTTTCTTACCTGGTATACTAAGAGGAATTTATGGGCTTTTTGCCCTTCAGCCTCTCCTAAGGAGATGCTAAGTCATTGGCTGACTGTCCATAAAGCATTTGAGAGTGTAATAAAGCCCCCAGAGACTTCCCATTAATCAAGAACAATTTGTGTTTATTACCGTACTAGGGTTCTCCCGAGAAATGGAGCTGAAAGGAATTTATTATATGGGATTTGGCACCAGTAATTATCAGCTCATTTTTTAACTTTTAAAAATTAATCACCAGAGCACACAGGAAATCACATGTTCTAATAACAGACTTATGAAGACATTCCCACAGGTGTTTGTCTTTATGATGAGTTTATACGGACTATTTAATCAGGAAAATTTATAATTCATTAAGAAATTATAAGTGATTGTCATGTTTCAGATGAAGACAAACAAATGTGAGGAATTTCTGCAATAGGAAAATGAGGACTTCCGCGAATGTTTCAGTTATCATTTACAAGTGTCCCAGACGGTGGGGTTTTGGAAGGTGCTGGATCGCGGGGGAAGTGATTCTGTCATTGATGGGTTTGTAGCTCCATGTTCTTCTTTCCGGTCGGTCCCTCTGGAGCATGTGGGTCACGGAAGGTGAGCCTCGGAAGGGCATCTTCTGTCCCAGGCCCTCCTCGCCTTTTCTGTTTCCTCCTCACCTGCTCGCAGCTCTCCCCACCACGCCCTTCCATGGTGATGCTTCTGCCCTGGAGCCAATGCGAACTGAATCTGGGAAACGGCGTCTCCCTCAGCCTCGTGGGTCAGGTATGTGCTGTCACATCAACACGGAGGTGACTGCTATGGCAACCGGCTCTACAATCCATGAAAACTGAGATACATATTTTAAAGAATCAACAGTCACAGAAAACCCTGAAACCAGCAACGGCACAGACGATGTGAGGTGCTCTATCAACCGGGTGGAGGCGAATGTGCAGTCATTAAGGACACGATTCATCAGTGCAGGCTCTTCTCAGTGCTGACATTCCTAATGTTTGGGACTGGATAATTTTGCCAGCATTAGGGACTCTCCTGCAACTTGTAGGTAATTATTGGAGCACACCTGTTCTCGCTACTCTCCATAACGATATCATCCCTCATACTTCCCTGTAACCACGGACATCAATCTCTAGACATTGCTGAATGAAGTGTGTCCTGCGGTGGGGGGGGGCTGCCCCCTTGGGGCTTCTAGTTTACAATCCCTTGTAATTTAATTGGAGAATGTTATTGGATTGAACTCAGAATACATTATCAAACTTTGCATTCAAATATATGATTACAATGTCTTTATTGATAAGCCATTAACCTTATACTTGGATGCCTGAATGCCTTTATTTTTGTCTATTCTTGGCAAATAGAGTTGTGTGCTCTCAAATGAAATAATACCACTGTAAAATATACTTTGTTAGGCCAGGGATTTAGCTCAGTGATTCTGCCACCTGCCTCGCATGCACAAGGACCCAAGTTCCATCCCCGGTACCAAACAACAACAACAACAAAAAAAAACAGCAACAAAAATATATACTTTGTTGTGGGAAATAGCATTTGCTATCAAGTATTATAGTATGTACTGCCTGGGAAACATAATTCTAAGTAAAATTTGCATAAAGTGAACGCATAGAATGATTTTTATGGTAAACATTTATTTATTGAGTCTTATTAATAAGGAACAAGGGATTCCACCAATTTTATTAATAGGGAGAAAAACAGTTTGAAAACCAAGCACAATTTTTGTTTATTGAAGTAGTTTCTTTGTTTCATGAACAAGAAAAACTGGATGTTACCGATGACGACGTCCTTTGCAGCCTCTTTCCCATCCTTTTCCTGAAGCTGTAGAACCAGGGTTTCAGCAGAAGCCTGGCTCACTGTGGGGGAGACAGAGGCCCTCTTCCCTTTTCCAGGGTTTGGACAGAGCTTGGGTGTAGGTGCAGAGGAGCCAGACAGCCATCGCGCATAGCTACTGTTGGAAAGGCAGTAAGTGAGGACAGACGTGGGGATGGTAAGATGCAATGTCACCAGGAGCTACAGCTACTGTAGGAGCTACAAGCTGAATACGTATTTCTAGAGCTATCGTGACCATACAGCAGGGCTTACAAATGGCCATGGGAGCCAGCAGCAAGCTCTGATCCATCCTGACAGCCAGGAAACAGACAAACGGAGCAGGACATGCCAGAAAAGCACAACATTTTCATCACACAAACTTTGCTCATATTTTGTTTGTAAGGACAGAAGCAAAGCGCTGGTGAAGGAAGAAGTGCGCTGGTGTGTTCAGTCTTGCATCCATTTTGTTGGCCAGGATCAAACCTAGGTTGCCTGATAGCAAGCAAAGGATGACGGGTAAGCAAAGCACAGAGAGGAGCAGCTGCTTGGGTTTGTATAGTATCTTCCCATGGCAGGAACAGTTCTACATTTCCATTTCCTGTAATAGGTAATGATTTTACAACCACTCTTTCTATTCACAGTGGGGAATGGTAGTGTCTAGGTATTTACGGATAGAAGATGACAGTGTAACATTTAGCTTTGGTAGCCATTAGTTTTAAACAGAGCTTATATATCTAAAAGTGACTTAATGGAAAGAACAAATGGAATTTAAGTGTGGTGATCTACAAAAAGAGAAAGTACAGATAAGCTTAGGAAATATTCTATGAATACTTTTATGAAGAAATTCTGAAGACTAAAGAATACACCAAGAATTTCTGTCTCATTAGGGATGCTGTGTTTGCTTTAATATTGTTCCTTTACTTCTAGCTTGAAATTAAATCAAACTTTTCCAAGGATATTCTCCATAATACAGGTGCATTACTAGTTAACAGTTTAGTGAAGTAATTTGAAGCAAGGATAATTGTTGTTCGGTGGAAATGCCCAGCATAGACACATGCATGGATATGAAAAGTACTAGATTCATTTTTATCAAACTGAGTTAAACAGTGATGTTTAAATCGAGAAATGAGTACTGCATTTAAATATTTTGCTTGAATATCAAAAAGCTACCTCTGTGTATAATAAATCTCATTAAATCCAATCTGATTTACTTATGATCCCTGGCTTCACATAATTTCACAGTCATCCACCCTTTTCTCTTAAATACAAAATCTGCTGATTGGGGACCATCTTAATTGCTTAGTGTATTCCACATTTTAATGGATGATCTCACTTGAAAATAATTCCTTGCTATAAAATTTTAATCTTTATATAAGATGGTATTATTTGTTGCATACGTTTATCATAACATTGCAGAAAACAAAAGATAGATACAGATGTAGTGGTATCACAGCTCACAAATTTAACCCTTTTCATGACTCTGGTCACAAACTGGACTGGAGAATCAAATAGAATTTTCCCATATGCTAAACTTTGAACCTAATGACTAAATTTGATTCCTTTCTCATACAATTCAGCTTGTGTCCAGAATCATGGAAAGAATTAAATTCTTGAATCAAGGTGCCATATATCGTGGTGCCTTGGTACACACACACACACACACACACACACACACACCAAAAATGTATGCACACTTCAGTAGTTTGCTGTAATAATAAATGTTTGAGCACCTCTTGTAATTGTAGAGGCCTAAGGTAGCTTGTATTGATCTCATGATGTCTCAGTAAATTTAGTGTTAAAACATTAATTCAAGTTTTTCTTCTCCTGATGTATACATTTTTGGCAGACTCTTGAATTAAAAATAAACTGAAGTTCTTTGAATTTACAGTGCCCCATATCCTACCCTCTTTTAAGTCACAACGTGTCCTATAAACCCATAGGCAGCGATCTAACCTTTTTTTCTGTTGCAGAAGGACAGCGCCTCTAAACCTTCTCTTCATTTATGCGTAGAGCTGTCAAACTACATTGGTTTGCAGTGGTTGCAGGGGTTGGTCATGAAGCTCTTTAAGGCAGCCTTCACGTCCTTGTTGCGCAGGCTGTAGATCATGGGGTTCAGCATGGGGATCACCAGGGTGTAAAACACAGAAGCCATTTTATCGGTGTCTAAAGAATAGTTAGTGCGGGGCTGCAGGTACATGAACAGCAACGTCCCGTAGAAAACTGCCACAGCCGTGATATGAGACCCACAGGTAGAGAAGGCTTTTTTCCTTCCTTCTGCTGATTTGATCCTTAGAATAGACAGAACGATGTTGACATAAGAAATTAGAACTATGGTCATGGAAAACACAATGTTTGAAGCTGCAGATATAAAGACTATTATTTCTGGAACAGACGTATCGGAGCAGGACAGCATCAACAGAGGCATAATATCACAGTAGAAATGATTGATGACTTTGGAAGAGCAGAACGACACGGAGAACACGCAAGGCATAACGACAACGGCTGTGCCAAAGCCGTACAGGTAGGTGAGGGACACCAGCAGCAGGCAGACCCGCCGAGACACCACCGCCATGTAGAGCAGGGGGTTGCAGATGGCCACGTAGCGGTCATAGGCCATCGCCGCCAGCATGAAGACCTCGGCCACAATGAAAACCAGGAATCCGGCCAGCTGGGTGGCACAGGCATAGTAGGAGATGGTTTTCTCTTTTACTAAAAAATTGAGCAGCATTTTGGGAGCAATAAAAGTAGAGTTGCTAAAATTTATAATAGCCAGATGTCGGAGGAAGAAATACATGGGGGTCTGCAGTCGGGGGTCCACACTGGTGAGGGTGATGATGCCCAGGTTCCCCATCACGGTCAGCACATAGATGCCCAGGAAGACGAGGAAGAGGGGGACCTGCAGCTCGGGGCGGTCTGAGACCCCTATGAGGATGAACTCAGAGACCTGGGTGATATTTCCAAGAGCCATGTAGGTGTCGGAAACTCATCTGTTTAGGGGAAAAAAAGAAAAAGGAATGTAAAGATCTTTTCTATGTCTACCATTAGATAACAACGACAGCTCCTTGAGTGAGAGAATAGCTCAAACTTTATCTTAATCTACCTCCGCTCATAAACTTGAAGTTCTGGGATGAATAATTATTGTATAGTTTCCCAAGGTTTCAGAGAGAGAGAGAGAGAGAGAGAGACAGAGAGAGAGAGAGAGAGAGAGAGAGAGAGAGAGAGGGGACATAAAGGAAGCATACTAAAACAATGATGATCCAGCTTCATGTAATAGTCTGAGGATTTATTCCCTTGCAATTGTGTCAAATTGTAATATATTTTTAGCTTTCAAACACATCTGTGGAAAATAAATTAGCATTTGATGGTTGTGTTATTGTTGAGGAACAGGGTAGATAGATTTAATCGGGAACAAGATGATTGGCTTATAATATAAACTGGAGAATTAATACACTTTAAGTCATAATCATTATTTAGATTTCATTCTAACTGAATTATATGCTACTGGGAAGATTCAAGGTCAGGTAGTAAAATAACACGATCATGTCTAAGTTTTATAAAATTGCTCAAGATATTGAGTAGATAATGGATTACTGAATTGGAAAAAGGTAGAGCTGGAATATTTATTGGTAAAAAATATAAAACGAAAACTGAAGCAATTGTCATGGAGTTTCTGGTGAAGTATGATACTGGCTTGAAGCAAAGTGCAGAAACTCTGGCAGAGTTGATGAATTTGATAGCTGGGGGGGGAATAAGACGCTCTTGACATCATTCATATGATAAACTTTATGAACAATATTTGAGGGGTGATTGGCCAAGTGTAGATTAAGGCCAGCTTTTGTGGTTGATTTTTGCTTCGGCACAATCACTGCTGCTGCTCCTCTAAACTGTAGGCCTAGACCCTGAAGGAGGAGAACGTGGTGATGCACACATTGCTGGTGGCATCTTCAGAAGATTCCACTGGGAATCGATCCCTTCAGAAAACCCTTGTCCTGGAATTGACCACACACTGACTGTCACGCTTTGTCTTAGCCTGAATCTGCATTACTGAAGTAAACTCATTCTGCTACATCTATGAACACAGTGATGAATGTGTGTCCGTCAGCGTCCTTCAGTGCCACTGGGAGTCACCCTGTTGCACAAGTAGAATATTCAAGAGTTATGAGCCAGTGTTCCTGCAGTCAAATTAGAAGGGACTATGAATTTAAATAATGGGTTTCTTATCCCATCATCTGCATTTTATCCCTCTTTACTTCAGCAACAAAATTGGCAAGGCCATTATTTCAAGGGAAAAGGAAAATAGGATGTTGAAAGAAAAATGTGTCTTCATGAAACAATTTTAAGGTGACAAACTTATTCTTGTACTGTTTGCATTCCAGATGAGAAATGGTAGAAGTCTGTCACTGAAGTCAAAGTATGTTTAAAAGCAAATGCTGTGTTCCATTTGGACACATCTGTTAACTTCCTGATTTGCAAATGTCTATGCAGCTGTGAACATTTGAGTACGTCCATGTGGGGATTAATACATGGACGCTCAGCTGTCTTTGGAGAAGCATTGTATCCAATTTCAGGGTGAAGACCCTGACCTATATGGGTCTCAAACTGAACTTGAAAGCAGGGAAGTTTTCCATTATGATACGTTGCATAAATTAAAAATGCACACAATAGCTAATTTCTCTCTCAGAAGACAAGCAGACATAACACATTCACAATCACAAACTTTGCCGTTTGCATGATGGAGTAGATAAAAAAGCAAGGATAAAAGGTGTCTAAATTTTCAAAATGTCTATAATAAAGTGTCAGGAACCGGGTAGCTTCTAGAGCTGACATTGCTTTACTCGCTGATCTGGCTTCAGAAGTCCAGTGCCGAGCTCTGTGAGGATTGCTTTCTGCTGTGGCTGGCAGGGCCACCTTCGCACTGTGTCTTCACCTGACACAGCCGCCTCTGTTGCCCGGGGCCTCTCCCTCTCTCTGCCCTCAAGTCCTCTTCTCTCAGAGATGTACTGGAGTAAAAGTCCCACCTGAATGAGCCCATCCTAAATTAATTGCGTCTGTGAAGGCCTTATTTCCAAACTCGGTCATCCTCATATATAATAGGGTCTAGTACTTCCACGTGAATTTGGGAAGAGATACACTTAAGACCATAAAAAAAGAACTCAGAATAAAATTTACAAAAACAGCAGTACTTACCCAGTCTAATAATGTGCGATATGAATAGAGGAATAACATCACTTAAAAATCCCCACCTTAGGGCCAAATGCAGTTGAAAAGATCTTCATTTAGCAGAAAGCTTACTTCTGGAAATATTTTCTGTAGGAAATAAAAGTTATTAAAATATCTAGATAAAGTATTTATAAGATTAATTATTGATTTATAAATCATTATTAATTCATAACATTATTAATTATTAACTAGAATCTATTCCATTTGGAACTTCATTAGAAAAACAGGAACATATTTATATATTTAAACAACTTTACATGATTTAATCTACCAATATTTCAGATGCTTCTAAGGTAAACTAAATGTTATAAAAGATATTATAAAAGATATTCTGTTTTACAGATCTAATACATGATTTTAAAAAATCAAATTCATTGAATTCCATTCCCTTCTTCCCTTTCCCCTAACCCTGCCATTTGTATGATAAAATGAAAAATAATGAAAACAATGTCTTTGTAGATAGGGCAGGAGGGAGGGGATGAAGGGAGGGCAAGGGAGTGGGGAAAAAATAAGAACCAAGATAGATTATGTAAAGGTGCAAATTTCCAACAGTGAATGACATTTTATATACATATACATATATATACACACACATTAAATGTACCAATAAAATTAATTTAAAAAATCAAACTCATTGGATCAAAAAAAAAAAAAGAATGGCTGTTTCTCATGCCTGTATTAGAGAAAAGATGAGGTTTACTGACGTCTATCCAGTTTCAATTACAGAGAATAATTTGTGTGCAGATAATGCCCAGCCTGCTGACCACAGTTAAAAATATTGGATTGTGTATCTGGGATTTGCTAAAAAGGTCTTAAAAGTCCTCACCACCAGAAAGAAAGAAGCCATGTGCCTTGGTTGGTGGTGAAATTAACTTGATAATGAGAATCATTTAACGCTATATACCTTAAAACACTACAGCTTATACTTTTAAAGTATCTGATTCTATTTGTCAATTATTATCACATAATTAGCAGATACTAAAATGACAAACACGCATGTGTGACTTTTAAAAACTTATCTGTGTTATTACTACTCTCAATCAAGAGTATATCCATCATCCCAAATATTCTCTGTTATCTTTGAGTGTCTTTTCGGGTCTCTTGCCGCGTTGTTATTTGGTTTGCTTTTTGGTACTGATTTCTAAGAGATGTTCACATGCACTTAGGATTCTGCTGAGGTCTTTGGACTTCTTACTTAAATCAAATTTATTTTTAACTGATACATAAAACATAAAATGTGATATGTCAGTAGATGTAGATAAAAATCATGTACGGCTTACATCAGGTTAAACACATCTCTCTCCCCAGGCATTCACTCTCTTTATAGTGAAGAATTACTTGGCCAACCTCGTGGGTAATGACTAATCAACTGTACATTTATTTTGCATAATTTTGGTCTCTGTACCGTTGCATCCGTCTTTTTTTGTAAATAAAATACTGCATTTTCTTAATTAGTATAACTTTGCAGTCAGCCTTAAAATCTCTATTATGAGTCTTGGAATTTTGTTATTTTTTGAGAAGAGATTGGCTTTTTAAGACCTTTTTCCACTCTACCCAAGCAGAATTAAAACTATACATGAGTGATCTTCATTATGACCATAGAGTTATGTGTAGGCTGCTCTGTCTTAGAATGGTTACTTTTGGAAGTAACTATTAAACTACTTTAATACTAAAACATGAATATTAATTTCAAAATAAACTTTATTAAAAGTTAAACCTTTGAGGGTTGGTGATATAGCTCAGTTACGCCGCTCCTGCATGGCAGAGGAAGGACCTGAATTCAATACCCACAGAACTCATGTAGGAAGTCATTTCCAGAAATTTTTAGAAATAATTGGAAGATGAGTTTATTCAATGTAGTCCTTAGGCTCTATGATTTTCATCATTTAAGCATTGCTAGAAATTCATTCAGATTGCCTACCCAGGAGCTTTTGGTACAGTAATCCAATTAGATATGGAATTAGAGATGGAGTAAAAATTTAAAAAACAATAAAAATTCTAACTCTGGTAAGAAGTTTCAGAATGTACAAATACTAACAGCATTCATATATGTGTGTGTGTGTGTGTGTGTGTGTGTATTACACATATAATAGCATTATTTCTTAAATATTCATTAGTATAATATAATAAGATTACATGGTCTGTGGCTGTTAGGAATAGCGGTACCATCTGGGGAAGGCTACAATATTACAGGTGTTCTGTGGACCAAAGGAGATTTCTGGTAGCGTTCATGCCTCACCTACGAGAACAAGTAGCTAATACTACAAACTTATCATTTTGACTTTGTAATTTTTTTTTCTTACATCATGAAGGTGACAGTTTAGTAAGTGTTATCTACTTTCTTGGAAATGATAAAGAAGAAAAACTGGAAAAATCGTAATGTACAATGCTTCGTTCTTTTAAAATTGCAATCATTATACACATATGCAGAACATATTATTAGTAATGTGGCATAGTTTAAATATAAAAGTTTCTAAATGAAAGATATTATTTGATCATGTTTTAACCACAGAGCTATTTATTACATCTGTGTATGTGTCACAACAGAGACAGTGAGACAGTCAGACAGACAGACAGAGACAGACAGAGAGGCTGTAGACAACAAAATGAGGGAAAGATGAGGTTAAAGTGATGAATGTACACTCTACAGTTTAATCCTAGTAATGGAAATAGGAAAACATTGAATATTTAGTGGCCTACAAAGATGTTGCTGTTGAATTGTGATGAAAGCCAATTGCAGGAAACATGCGACGATGTTCTTTACAGCCACTGTGCTCACCTCTGCAACACGAAGTCAACAGGTCTTCAGTGTGACTTTTGTTATGCACAAATAACACGATTCCAGTGTGAACTTGGTCCTCACCTGTGATTTTATTACCTGACTACAATATGATTTTTTCTGTTGAAGTGGTGGCGAGTACAGGTTGATGGAAAACATATTTTATCCTGAAAAATTGAAGTCTTGAGCTGGGAAAATAGTTCTACTTTTTGATTCTATAATTAGTCTGACACAGTGTAAACAGTGTTAAGTGATTATTCAGAAAGTAGGCGCATGAGATAAACTCTCTCTTCCCCCTTGTATAGGTGTGCGCGCGCACGCGCTTGTGTGTGTGCATGTGTGTGTGCGAACACCACCACCACTGTCAGGTGGTACAGGTGGAGGAGATTTTGTTGCTCCCCTCAGTTGCATTCATTTTCATAATGGCAAAAAACAAGTAAGATACAATAATAATAATAAGGAGAAAGAACAGCCAATTATAGCCTAAGAAATTCAGAATGATCAGGTCCAATTCACAGGTAGAAAAGAAAATTGCAGATGGCATCACAAAAATCTTTTTTTTCCCCAAGTTTTAAATAGATTTTCTTGCTCCTGTTAGGCCCCAAACAAAACAAAACAAAACAAAAACAAACAAACAAACAAAAAAACAAAAAAACAAAGCACACAAAGTTACATTCATCTTCAAAGAAACAATATTGAAACTTGCTTTAAAGGGCAATGATATCTTGGACTGATTGTTTTGATGGAGATTTTAAAGAAAAGGGATAAGAAAACATCTTCCCAATGATTCTTGGAATAATAACTAAAAAAACTTCTGGCCATTAAATTTGTGTCTCAATGCTTCTCACTATAAATATAACTTGTTTGCTCAATACTAAAACTACTCATCATACACAGTTAACTTCAGAATTTCATTATTAATACATTGGCTGCACTCAACATATCAATGTTCTGTTGACTCACGAGCACTAAATAGAGAATTCTGAAAGATTAGACAGCACAAGGACACAAATAAATACCCCGAATAAGAAGAAACTCATTTTGTGTTTGGCAATTTTCTAAGCTCTTTACAGATGTGAACTCAAGTGTCCCACACAAGTATTTCAGAATGCAGATAGTAATAACAATATGTATTTAAAAAAACAAAGAAAATGTGGTGCTGAGGGTGAGATAATTTAATAAATACTATTCAAGATGTAATTAGTAGGGTCAGATAAATTCCTGCAGCCTTTGGGGTATAATTTTATAAACAGTACACCATTCCTCCTTTCCATGAAGGACCCCTTAACTGGAGAGAGAATGAGGGGTAGAAAAGAAAACATGAGAAAAATACTGATAGACAAGGATCCTTGTTGAAATATATTACTGATGCCAGAGGTTAATTTGAAAACTACAGTGTTAAAATATTGAGCAACATAGATTATGGAGGACTCTACAGAAGGATTGTCCTGCTTATCAATCCTTCTGGTTGCAAGCAAAAAGTGTAATGAAAGGGAAAGTAATTCTCTCACAGATCACAAGATCCTGAATGGATTTTGTTGTAATCTAATTTAAGGCATGTGAGGTTAGACATTTTCAAAGTTAAAAATCTCTGCTTACCTTAGTGGGAAATCTGCTTTGGCTTTCTTGTTTTAATCTTAACATGTTATTATAGCGTGGATAATTGTTCTATTTTACCCTTGAGGCTCATTTTGTTGAAGTTTTCAACTAATTGAAAGTTAAACAAATTATACACAACTAGCCAAGAGGTAGTGCCTTATTATTTTCTGAATGTTTTATTAGCAAGTGTAAAAATCATTTTATTCCTCAATCCGACTGAATAAAAAATTACTCAATATCACTAAACAATGGCAATCATAAATATGTTTTTATCAGAACTTCAGTGTGAAGTATTATGCACATATTAAGTATGCAACACATCACATAAATCATGAATAAATAAAATAATGACTTTATCAATTTTTGATAATTCAACATCAGTTATCCAAGGATACTTTTCCAGGATGTAGAACTTTGTCAGGCATGCAAACATCAAATGATATAAGGTGTCCCCTGTATTGTACACTTTCTCTCAATAAGTTCGTGATTGATCATTTCTTTATATGCCCATAATAAATCTTTTAAATTAGCCAGCCTTGAAAGACTTTTTGGCATTGATTTCCAGAAGTTTGTTTGTGATGCACTTTAATGAAATTATCTTCCTGTTTACCCAGACTGGAGTTATTTAACCTCTTCTATCTCTGATATTATTATCATTATCATTATTATTATTATTTTTAGTGTTGAGACAGGGTCTTGCATTGTAGTTCAGCGTAACATTGTGCTCACTGCATCTCCCTGGCTAGTCTTGGCCTCTCAGGAATCCTCCTACTTCTGCTTCCTGAGTGCTGGGTTTGCCAATGGGCACCACAATATCCAGAATATTTGGTATTATTTTTTGTAAATAATTTTGGGAAGAAATTCTGACTAACACTTCTTCATGTTTTTTTCTGACCTATAAAGTCTTTCTTCCTGTTTGGACTTATGATTAAACATAGGTTTGACATTTTCTTTTAGTTTTAACAGTAACAAATTCTTTTCATAATTTTTGCTCAGTGTAGTTCTTTCTCAGTGTCTTCATTTTGGGGAGAACTTAGTGCAATTTCAGACTTATTTCCCAACCCCAAACTGCCATAAATAGATTTGTCTTTAAGACCTTTACTCGATACCCAGATTTTTTTTTTTTTTTTTAGACAGGGTCTCACTATGTAGTTGAGACTGACCTGGAACTCACTGTGTAGCCCAGGCTGGTCTCAAACTCACAGCGATCCTCCTGCCTCAGCCTCCCGAGTGCTGGGATCACAGGCGTGCGCCACCATGCCCACCCTTGATGCCCAGATTTTGAACACAAATGTTCTACATGCTGAATTTTAAGAACTCAAATGTTTGCCTGAACAAAAATCCCTAGAGGATCTATATATATTCAATTTTCAAGAGACTTACATTTTTGTACTACAGTTTTAGATTTAGAGTGTTCAATAAAAACAATATTAAGAAGTTTCAGAAACCAGTGGAAACAATGAACAATATAACACATAGTTTATGATTACGTAGAATGTAACAGGCATTTTCATTGAGAGAATGTTTCCATAAGAAGCAGTACTGAATAAGAAACAGAGCATGTTGGAGAAGTGACACTTAATTGATATCTAAAATTTGAGGGTTAATCAGGGCAAATAAATAGAAAATAATCTAGTTTTCTATGTGTTATAATGAGGTTCTCCATGGAGCCCATAAATGTATTCATATGGATTAGCAGTGTTTTCAAGTAACATTGCCTTTGTTCTACTTTTTTAGACCAGCATTCTAAATGTAACACTACAGACGAGTTTCACATGGATTCCTAACAACCCTGTGGAAGGCATTTTTTACCTCTTTGTTCCGGAAGCTGTAGATTAAAGGGTTTAGCATGGGGATCACTAACGTGTAAAAGACAGAAGTCAGTTTATCAGTTTCAAAGGAGTGAGCGGATTTGGGCTGCACGTACATGAACAGCAGAGTCCCGTAGAAGACCACCACCACTGTCAGGTGGGAAGCACAGGTGGAGAAAGCTTTCCTCCTTCCCTCTGCAGACTTCATCCGACAAATTGCTGAGAGGATCAGCACATAGGACAGAAGAACAATGAGGAGGGAGGAGATCAAATTGAACGCTGAAAATAAGATGATCAGTAATTCTATATCTCGTGCATTTGAACACAACATAAGTAACACAGGAACATTATCACAGTAGAAGTGACCCACGTGAGAGCTACAGAAAGTCAATAGAAAAATCTTACTAGTGATCATCAGAGCCTGCATGGTACAGTAGAGGTAGGGAATGCCCACCAGCACATGGCAACGTCTCTGGGACATGATGACGCTGTAGAGCAGAGGGTTGCAGATGGCCACGTAGCGGTCATAGGCCATGGCTGACAAGACGAAAAGTTCACTGATAATAAACGTGATGAAGAAAGCCATCTGTACGGCACAAGCATGATAGGAAATGGTATTTTGACCCATAACAAAATTCACCAGCATTTTGGGATAAATGGTGGTGGCATCTCCAAGGTCAATGTAAGCCAGGTGTCTGATAAAAAAATACATTGGTGTGCATAAGTGGGAATCCAGCTTGGACAGAATGATCATGCCCAGGTTGCCTGTAACTGTAATCATGTAGATGATGAGGAAAATCCAGGCAAGGGGGAGCTGCAGCTCAGGCAGGCTGGAGACTGCACTCAGAATGAGGTCAGTGGGCACCGTTAGATTCTGTCTCCCCATGATATCCGGATATCTCTCTGGGGAGGAAACCAAGAGATGTTGTGTCTTTTATCTAGAATCGTAAAGCAATTATGATAGTCTTTCACAGACTGGAAATATTTATTCTAGAAAGCAATGGAATACTAATTTGATATTCTAATTCTAAAAGTTAAATAAAGAATGTAAATTTTCTTTACATGAGATATCCATGTGAAATGTATGCACTGGTTTGCCAGATTAAATTCTTAAGAGTCAATGATATCTGTAACAATATTAACAAAACCATATTTGTGTTAATATAAAATATTAGGCTTCATTTCCTCTACACAACTGAATCAGAGGTTTTCCATAATATACTAGGGGTTTAGAAAAATAGAATAAATGTTGAAATAAATCATATCTATCACACTAAGACACTTTGCTATGAATAAGACTTACAGCATTTCCTGTTACTTCACACACACACACACACACACACACACACACATACCCTGCCACCGCCTGCTATGCAGTGGAAAAGCGATAGCCTAAAAAGAGTACAGCAGCTGTCATCCACCTGACTCGTTGTGTCTGCCAACATCCAGCCATGGGCCCTTGTCCAATGCCCATACGATGGTGAGTGGTGAACACTCTGAGTCCATTCAAAACATCAAGGCAGCCACGATAGTGCAAAGATAATCACAAAATAGAATTTCCAGAGCTGCTTCAGAAAGCAGCAGGAAAATAAAGGGACGATTATGTGCCACAGGAGGAAGAGAGTTTCGAGAGGATTAAGGCCAATACGACTTCTATTCTTTAAAAGTATTATCTTTTGAAGTACTGTACCTTTCAATGGCGCCTTCTACTTCCGACCTGATCTCGCAGTGGCAATAGGGTTTCAGTCTTCTGAAAAGTCATGTGGACCTTTACCAGTGGATTCACAAAGCGATGCACCCTTGTTAAAGTTTCAAAAATAAGACACATAGACTACAGTCAGCTAAGCATGACATTCTGAGTTCCACTCCCTCATGCTGTAAGTGAAGCCATGTGTATCAATAACTACAGACAACTGTAGCATCGATGCAAGAGAGATGTGGGTTAATGTTATTTTAATTAGGGATTAGTAGGCACATTTCAGCACACAAGATGTGGACCTGTTCTAGCGAACGTGAGTGGTTTATGCTGACATACACGTATTTTAGTGTTTACGTTTGTACCCTTTAATTTTGAAAATAACACTAGTAAGAGCACAATTTGTATTTAATTTAAATTATGTGAGCAGTTTCATAATACCCATGGAGGCTCATAAATGCATTCTGCAGTATTAACATTGAGTAAAGCACGACATCGTAATATTCAGATATTACAACAATATGTGCTACCCTCATTTAATAAAATTAATTTGGGAATTAAGTAAAAGAAAGGACAACTGATGAAAAGTGGGGACTCCTTTAGCCTAACCTCTTGAGTTCCTTTCCAGTGACATTCATTATCAGCTCAGTGAAAACCTGGAACTGTGTCAATATGATTTTTTGTTGAAGAAGAAATGGGAAGTCACAGTTCTGTTAAACGAATGTTGTTTATCAGGACATCGATGTCCCCTGCACAGACACCAGGCATCAGGTACTTAGAGCCCAGCACAAAGTGGTCAGGCACAGCTCAGAGCAGTAGCACAGCAGACCCCAGAGAGCAGGAGTTCTGAGGATCTGCTTACAGTGCTTTGTGAGTCAGAAAGTGGGGCCGGGCACAGGGCGATCCTGGAGGTTGCTGAAAGCTGGTGTCCCTTCTCCCAGTGCAGTGGTCTGCGACTGTTTCATGTGAGTCCCACACCTCTGCCAGACCTCTTCCTCCCATTCTTGAGCCAGAATCTGTTTCCTTCTGAAAATTTAGTTCTGAATTTATAGGTTTGCACTATCTAGTATTTTAGGGTTTTACTGTGGAATAGGAGATGCAGTTGATTAAACAGAAGGACCCAGAAGTGCAGCGCTAACCTTAGGACTGTAAAGTTCTTAAATATTTCCAAGAATTCTAGACCTTTCTTTTCCTACCTCTGTCCTATTTCTAGTGTTCATTTCACATCATGTGCAGATGTCTACATTCCCTCACCCTACCCAGCTTGTCTGTATGGAAAAAATACTTCCGAGTTCTTTAGAATATCTCACTGTACATATGGTAAATATCTCCATTTCCAGAGTAGAAAAAGTACGCATAGGGACTGCTTTCCAACCTTTATAGGTGCTCATTTTAATTGGCAATGATTGATGATTCAGGGGTTTCTTTACACCCTCATGTCTCTTAAAAAATCCTTGTATTTATTTCTATATATGTAAATATTCATTATTCAGCCTGAAAAAAGAATAAGAAGCAAGCAACACTTCAGGAAAAAGAATCCAAGACTAAAATATCTGAACATTTTGGAATATGCCATTCTAAAGAACAATTTGCAATTTATGAAATATTTCCATGGACCTCGTACCATAAAATATTTTCTAACACACATCTAGCTTATATGTATATTGAAATGATATGTAATTAAAAAATAATGAATGAAGTAAGTAGAAACACATATATTTGAAAGTTAAATTAAACCAAATGTCTTGCATTTTATCTGGAAACCCAAACCTCAGTCTATTCTACGTGCTGAGTTTCGTGAACACTTAATACTTTTTCTGGCTCTCTTATGACTTCCATTATCTAAGCGCTACTTTGAAATCTCGCCCTTCCAAATGATTATATGTATTTCTTCAATTCAATGCTTTTTATACCTAAAAAGAAAAAAATACTTTCCCAATAGACAGCCATTCACAGAGTAGATATTGAGAAGGACATGTGAAAACACCATCTGGGGAAGTTTGAAAAGTAATTGTTCCTTGGCAGTATAGTGGACTTTTAGCACTTTGTGGCCTCTTCAGCGAAGGAGTAAAAATATTCATCTACCATTACTGTTACGGGCTGGTTTTATTTTATTCTTGGATGGTAATATTCTATCCTTATGGCACTATTGCCACCAAATTGGCTTTACCATCTTGGCTTTAGGGGTATAGAAGACAATGGATTTCCATCTCTGTTGCTGTAATATGTTAAAAATTATATGCTGGTAGAATTTAATTTAATTGTTTCAGATAGAAAACATTTTTTGACTTTGTATTTTGAAGGTGTTTGGACTAAACGAACAATAAACTACTGTTGTCTGCAGCAAAAAATAAACAAACAAAACAAACAACAACAACAACAACCCATCAGCTGTCATTGACCATGAGCATCTACAGTCAAATCCACAGGTTAGGGGGACTTACAACTCCTGGGTGAGCAGGGGAAGTCAAGGCAATGCCTACCCACCTTGAGAGAAGAACCAGATTTCTTTCTCCGTAAGTTTCCCTGTAAGTTTCTGATTGCTTAAGGAGGATTTAAGGCCCCCACCATATGTGTGATGTTCCCTGGGGAAAGAGCACTTAATTTCTTCAGTTCGTTCTGCTTAAATCATCAGAGAGACTTAAAATTTGCTCTGGTGACATCTCCGTATGTTCCCCCATGAGAAGTGTCAGGGAGACTCAAGGAAAGCAACAAACAACGTACACGATCAGAGCAGTTCCATGGAGACTTCAGAGATTTCAAGGCTCTTCACCCACTTACAGAGAGTCCAACAGCGGAGCAACAATGGAGAAACGTTCACCGCACTGGGCCCCTGCCACCCGGGGCTGTCCCAGTATCTCCAAGACATTTTCCGGATGTCATCCTCCTCACTTAGAATTCTTCTTCTCTTTTGATGTGGCTCTGGGCCCAATGCCCAACCCCTGAGGATAAAAACGACGAAACAGTAATGTAGAGTTCAAGAGGGCGCGTGAGACATGCCTCTAGTGGACACTCTGAACGATCGCCGGGTTGACCCACTTTTATTAGAAAGCCAAAAGCACTGCAGGAGGGCGTCGGGCGCCACTCATGGGACAGTGACTGCCAGTAGATGTCAGTCAGGTGTAACTAATGACAAATGGGGAGCAGGATGAATGGTAGCAGGTCCTTCCCTCTCCCTGGACGCCTCCCTGTTGTTCTCAGCAGAAGTTATCTGGCCCTAGGAGTGTTGTCCTTATTAGTTTTCCCACATGCAGCCAGAAATCCTGTGCTTGTTTTGCTTATTAACTTTTCTCTTCCTGAAGCAAGTTAATTACTGAAGCTTTTGATTTTATGGGACCTAAGTCAGGTGGCCTGGGCCTCTACATTCTTTTTTTTTTTGTAACTTTTTATTAAATTTATTGGTACATTTTAGGTATAGAATACAGTTACATTCATCATTGGGATCTTGTACCTTTACCTGACTTACCTTGGTTCTTATTTTTCCCCCATTCCCCTGCCCTCCCTTCTCCCCCTCCACCCTTCCCGGTTTGCAAAGACAATTTTCCATGTTTTTCCTTTTCACATATTTTTTTCCCTTGTTACATTTCCCCTACCTCTCCCTCTTCCCCTACTCCTTTCGACTTTTCCTTCCTATTACACAGTATCAGTTCTTCCTAATTTACAGTTTTAGTTTTTCACACCAGAGAAACTATTTGGTATTTACACATGTGTAATTTATTAATTTCACTTACGAGGATGGCCTCAATGTGAATCAACTCCATTTTATTAAAAAAAACACACACACAACTTTTTTATCCCAGTTGATGGGCAATTGGGATGTTTCCAAATTTTAGCTATTACAAACTGTACTGCTATAAACATGGGAGAGCATATATTGCTGTGTTATTATGGTTTTAATTCTTTTGGGAAGATGCCCAGCAGGGAAAGAGCTGGGTCCAATGGGATTTCTAATTCTAGTTGTCGGAGGTATTCCCATACTGATTTACACAGTGATTGCACCAGTCTGCACTCCCACCAACCATGGAGAAGGGTTCCTCTCTCCCCACAGCCCTGCCAGCGTTTGTTATTGGTTGAATTTTTGGTAGCAGCCATTCTTAGTGGGGTGAGGTGGAATCTTAGTGTTGTTTTCATTTGCATCTCTCAAATGACCAGAGAGGCTGAACATTTTTTCACATGTTTATTTGTGGTTT